ATCAGTATTCCTAATATTACCTAATAATATTCATGATACGTCTGTACCACATTTGATTTACATGTTCATCAGTTGGACAGGAGTTTTTTTCAGCTGTTGCCTATTAATAAATTTGCTTAAGAATATTTTTGTAGGGGCTGGGGATTTAGCTCAGTGGCATAAGCACCTGCCTTGCAAATGTGTGGTCATGAGTTCGATCCCCAGTACCGATAAAAAAGAAAAAGACAAAAAAAAAAAAAAAAGAATATTTTTGTAAATTTTGTGATCCCCCCCCCCCGTATATAGTAGTTGTTTTTTGTTTTGCTGTATTTCTATTGGATATATAGTTAAAATTAGTGCTTTATATGGTAACAGTCTTATCTTCAGTCTTTTGTGGACTAGCCTGTTTATCCAAAGTGATTGTACATTCCCGCTAGAGGGTTCCAATTTCTGTGCCCTAACCCTAACCTTGCTTGCATATTATTTATACAGCCAAGTTTAAACTCCTGTTTTAGCATTTTTTGCTTTATGATTTTTGAATGAAACCAACCTTTTTGTCAGTTATAAAACAATTGAAAAGTGTCTAATACTTATACAAAACAAGACATAGTTAACTTTTTAAGAATTTTTTAGTTTTCCTTCTCTCTCCTCCTAAGCAGCTCCCTGGGATTACAATCTCTTGTGAACTTGGCTTGAATTCTGTTGCTTCGTAATATGCTACTTTCCCTAGGAACCCAATGTTAGACTGAGGCATTCTCTGTTAACCCTTATGTTCATTTAAGACACATTATCAGTGCATTTTAAATTACAGCCTACTCTGCATACTGTTTTTCTTTATTTTTTTATACATTTAAAAAACATTAATGACATAATAAAAAATATCTGAAACTGAAGCTTGTGGAAGAACCACTTGTTCTTAATATCTCTTCTTTGAACTTGACCTTAGCCTCTCATCAGTTCTTGTGTTTGTTCAAAGAAATGTCCACCAAGTACTTCGTGGGCTTGAGGTGATTGTAGCTATAAACTTTCATAAAAGATTTAATCTTTGACTTCTTGTGATTTTTTTTTTTTTTTTTTTTTTTTTTGCCCATGGCTACTGTCACTTTGTGGAAGTTTCAGCCACTAGGATATCACTGTAGGAGCAGTGTGAGGTGCTGTCATCAGCGTTCTTCACAGTAATGGCTGTGTGTATGGAGCAGAGTCTGTCCAGGACTAACATCACTTTCATCAGCTTGCCCATTTCTGTAGAGTAAGGAAAAGGAGCTGCTTCAGAACACTATAAAGCCCTAAGCCAATCCTAGTCCCTGAGCCCAGGACACAGACCAGAGTGTTGCAGGCCAGATCAGCCATAAAGCTGCTAAACAAAGACAGTCATTAGAACATGCTCAAGGACCATCCATCCATCCAGAGTTGAGTGGTGTGTGGGTGGCCTTAAATAAAAGTGTGCAGGTACTACCACAGAAGAGGACAAACCTAACCCTTGTAGTTGATGGAAACCTTTGAAACAGCTGAAGATTGATAGAATTAAAGTAGCAAGGAAGAAAGAAATTAAGAGAAAAGGTCAAAACAAAAGTATTTTTCTTTGATTGCCTCACCATAATTAGCAAACATACTGGTTCAAAGACTTCAAATGTAGTATTACTACTGGACTGTTGGCGCAGTTCTGGCAACTGTGCTGTTCTAACCCGCCTGAATCTTTTCTGACCCTTGTGGTTAGGATTTCAGGCAGAAAAGGGTATCTGTCAGTGGTGGGAAATAGAAGTCAGTACTGCTTACAACTTCATTATTTCTGTAGTAACAGTTTTAAAGTGCTAACTAACATTTCTGGCATGAAAGGAACCAGTTAGGTTAGGTATTGTACGTGTATTTGTTTCCTAATTTTCTAGTTTTAGAAATTAAAAATTCCATATCATTTTCTTCTAACAAATAACTAGTTGAACTTTTTAACTCATTCATTGTACAGTTTAACTTCCAGGGCCGACAAGTTAATGGATTCCTATTACTCTATGTTTTCTTTTTGTTTGGTTTTTGTTACTCTGTTTTTTTAATACCAACAGGACACTTAATTCAGTGAACAGTGTTTTTAGCTTTTAAGAGGTTTGTTTAAAATTATTTTTAAGATTAAGAATTCTGAGGCTTCTGGTGATCTTTTCTTTCTCAGCAAATATTCGTATAGGAGTTACATTTTTCAGTTTACAATTTCCCGAATGATAGAATGTGTGACATTTTAAAGCTAGGTGTGCTAGTACTCACCTGTAACACCAGCACGCAGGAGGATCACCACAATTTCAAGGCCAGCCTGGGCATGAAAGAAACAATCCTAACCACTCAGTCCTTTTTCTCAAATGCAACAATACACATCTACCATCACTGAGGCATATGCTGTAAAAATAACCAGTAATGATTAGTGAAAACTAGGAGTCTTTCCCCCTTAGGGGTTTTTTTTTTTTGTCTTTTTATCGATACCAGGGATCGAACTCATGACTGCCTGCTTGCAAGCAGGCGCTTATGCCGCTGAGCTAAATCCCTAGCCCCTCCTCTTCGTGTTTTAAAAACAGATTTTGTAGAGGATTTTGAAGAAAAACCAACATTTCTGAAAGTATTTTTTTTCTCTGAAAGTATTTGTAAAGTTTAAAAAATAACTTTTACAGATGGATAGACAATTTAGTTAGGAAAATGTAGCTACTGAGTTACAACCTTTGGCATTATTAGAGAAGTGACATGTTGAATTCCATTTGAAATTCAAGGTTCTAGATTCAATTCAATGACTAGATTTCAAATCCCTTGGTTTTTTTGAGTTTGATTTCATTGGTTAAGTAAATTCTTGGTTCCTATATGCTGGGTATGGCTACTAGTGTCACATTCATATTAATTATTCTGTACTTTCAGTCCAAGCCCAAAATTTACTAGACAAATAAGGCATGAACTGAATCTGTTTTTCTCGGTTTTTTTTTTCCTCTTGTTTTTTGAGAAATAGTAATTCTCCGGGAGCAGAAATGTGCTTAGTTCCTTCACTTAATTCTTGTCTTTATTACATAAGAATCAAACATTTTGATAGTATATTTTAGAAATATTTTGATGGAGGTACTGAATGGTATTTGAAGGTCTTTCTAAAACATTTTCATCTAAAAAGGAAAATTCTCTGGCAAGCTCAAAGTCCTGAGTTAAAAGAAGAATATTCTAAATGTTTCTCATGCTTTTTAGTTTTTTGAGATGAGGAGGGCAGGGAATCCCTTAAAATAAATTTCTTTCCCCCAAATCCGTCATGTCTGATTCAGTGGTAAGACTTAGCAGTTGTTGTTTCTTATACGAAACTTTTCCATTCTTACTATTACCAAGGCATGGGCTTTCAAAGTTAGTAATTTGGGTTATAATCCAATAATGTGATGTCAATTTGAATTTTATTGCCACTAGTTTCTATTTGGAGCCACCAGGATCACCTAGAATCAGACGGTGATTGTGTTTGTAAAGTGTAATGACTTGTTGAACAATTATATGAGGTTTTAGGATTAAAAGTGAAAAGGCAGATTTTAACTAGCTCACCTATAAACTAGTCAGCTTTGGGGCGGTGGGGTTTATCTTATTGATTTACCTTACGGTAGAGGATCCCAGAGTTTTAAAAAATTTTTCAGAGGTTTAAAACTTCAGTGCTTTTTAGATAAAATACCCTGATAACCTTGTTCCTTAGAATCCATTACTGACTGACTGGTATGTCTTCAAGAACAGGTGATGGTATTATTACTTATTGAAGAGGGTTTTTTAAAAAAATAACCAAATATTGTCTACGTTCTGTTTTATCCTAGTTTAACTGTACCTGTTCTCTCTTTAAATTTCTCTCCATATACTGTACGCGTGTTTAATTTTTGGAAATGATTCCAAGTTAGTAGAAAGTATTTTCTTCTGCAAAAACACACAGTGACTAAGCTAAGTATGAATTGATGTCATTCTCAGTAATGTAATCATGGAATAAGATAACTGAGATAGAATTGAACCCCCAATTAAGCACATTTCAGAACAGATTTTATTAAAGGACACAGACCTTGGAGGTTTGGGTTTAGTTTGGCTTGGTTTTAAACTCAAAACAATCCTGCCTCCACCTCCCATGTGCTAGGATTACAGGCATGCACCACCACGATTAGTGAGTTTTATATTTATAAGGACCTGAAATTAAATGTTTCTGGCCTATTTCGTTTTTGTATGAGGATAAACTGTCAAGCTGCAGTTTTTCAGTGCTACTGGTTTTAGTGTTAGAGATCGAATGCAGAGTGTTGTGGATGCTAAGTATACACTGTACCACAGTGTTACACCCACAGCCCAACCAATAAATTTTCACTGATGAAGCTAGCTTAGTAGTCTAAAAATATCACACATTGGAATATATCAATCTTGGAATATGCTGGTTTCTCTCCCAAATTTGAGTTGAAATATTGTTTTATTTTTATGGTCCTTTGGTTTTTTTACTTTTTTATTTATTTATTTATTTTTTGTCTTTTTGAGACAGTTTCTCTATGCAGTTCAGGCTGGCCTTGAGGTCACATTGTAGCCCAGGCTGGTCTCGAATTTCAAACGATCCTCCTGCCTCAGCCTCCCGAGTGCTGGAATTACAGGCATGAGCCACCATGCCTGACTTAATTTTCTTTACATATACCTACTCATATACTATTTCTATTACATAAGAATATAACTTAAAAGGTCTCAAAATTTTAGCTTTTTTTTTTTTTTTTTTTTTGAGGACCAGGGGTATAATTCCATGTCACGGCCCTTGGTTAAATTTCCCAGTATAACCAAAAATAAATTTTAAAAGTTCTATGAATTTTTGAATTCTATGAATATTCTGTGAATATCAGAAAATAAATACAGGTTGACAGTAACTGTCACTTTAGGCTTTGCTGTTCATGTAAAACACAGATGTCAGAAACTGCAAAGCAATTCAAAAGAGGTATCTTTCAGTGTATTCTAGATAACAATTTGCTCATTTACTGCTTTTGTTGACCAGTCATTTTGCATTGTTTGTCTCTTAGGAGGAGAGCATTCCCATTGCTTTATCTGGTAGGGATATCTTAGCTAGAGCAAAAAATGGAACAGGCAAGAGCGGTGCCTACCTCATTCCCTTACTTGAACGGCTAGACCTGAAGAAGGACAATATACAAGGTTAGTTGGAACAAAGTTTCTGTTTGTTGTAAAATAAACATGGTAGTTTAAACCTTGAGGCTGGGTAGAAGATAGTTGTGCCTTCTGCTTTTTTTTTTTCTTTCTTTCTTTTTTTTCTATCTTTTTGGTCAGAATTTATATAATCTAGTACTATATTCTTTTTGAGGGGAATACCAGGAATTGAACTCAGGACCTTGTGCTTGCCAAGCAGGCACTTACGCCACTGAGCTGTGTATTTACCCCTCCGCTCCAGTTATTTTCATAACTTTTGGCCTCTTTTGTAAAGATCATTCCCAACAGAGATTTCTATTTTTTAGAATACGTTTAAATAATAAACAGTTTCAACAACTTTCCAGTGAGATAGGCAAGATAAGAATTGTTCCGTAGAGAGGAAAGTTAAATCACGAGGTTAAATTATTTGGTATTGCTTCTTATGAACTGAGGAACGAATTGTTTCTCATTATAGCTGTGTGTCTGCAGAGTTCCTTGTAGAACATGAACCACTTCTGTTTAAAGGCTTGTAGTTTGGAGATTTTAAGAGCTTAGGCAATAAAGAAGAAATAGATTTCTGTATTAGCACCCAGGTTAAGCTAATAGAATTAAGATTCACTCCACAGCTTTTGCTTTCTTGATCTGCAGTTACCATTTTTTCATTTCATATGATGTAAATAAAACCTGGACAATGGGAATTTCTGATGGTGGTGTTTAAATTAGTGACTCTTACTGTCAAATGTTGTTAGGACTTTTAAAAACATTAATACATGTCTGTTAGACCTGTTATGAACAGATTTTCGTCTCAGTATGTAGTTTACAAGGAAGGAGCATTATTTTTAGTGGCGTTTTAAACTTAAAATATGTTGTCCTTCTTTTCTCCATTCCTTGATATTTTCCAGCAATGGTGATTGTTCCCACGAGAGAACTTGCTCTACAGGTCAGTCAAATTTGCATCCAGGTCAGCAAGCACATGGGAGGGGCCAAAGTGATGGCAACCACAGGAGGAACCAATTTACGGGATGACATAATGAGGCTTGATGATACAGGTAAGAACCGCGTAGATCTGATTTTAGCCACAGGTGCTTCCTCTTAGTCAAAAAGTTAAAATTGTTTTTAAGAATTAAGGAACATCCCTATAATGAAGAAGGAACATCCCTATAATGAATGTGAATATAATGAATATGTATATCTAAATTGTACCAGTAAGCTTAATCAAATTTTTAAAGAATTCAATAACAAACACTACAGTAAAATAATGAATACAGAAAACCATTCAAAAGAAGAAATTGATAATTGAAAGGATATTCGATTAACTGTAACCAAATATTGTCCTAATTATTAAAATGTTAATTTATAATATGAATTCGTAGAAAAGTTGTCTTAGAACATGGAAGTGTAAATTGATTTCTTTGGTGAGAAATTTACAGTCTACTTCAGATTATGATTTTTTTTTTTTTTCAGTACCAGGGATCAAACTTACGGCCGTGCACTAGCAGGGCGGGCGCTTATGCCATGAGCTAAATCCCCAGCCCCATAAATGTTTATTTTCAAGAATCTTGAAAAAAATGTGATGAATATAAGATGATACGTACAAGGTTGTTTGCTGTAGAATGGTTTGTAATGAAAAATTGGACCAATCTCAAGGTCTCAGGAGATGGGCTAAATATATTGTGATATATAGATTTCCATATAGCCATTAAGAAATACAGCTGATTTGTATTCACTTTCATGAAGAAATCACATAGTACAGTATCAAGTATAAAAAGGCAAAAGAGGACTGGGGATTTAGCTCAGCGGCATAAGTGCCTGCCTTGTAAGCAAGTGCTCGTGAGTTTGAGCCTGGGTACCGATAAAACGAGCAAACAAAAAACCTCCACAAAAAAGGCAAAAGAAGTGCCGTCCCTTTTAGTCAGATTGTCCTCATTTGGTTACTTTGATACATTCTTTGTACTACGTAATTGTGTTTCTTCTTTATTTTTTTCCTTTTTCTTTTTGAGAGATGGCTTTGCTATGTGGTTCAACTGGCCTTGAACTCACTGTATAGTCCAGAATGGCCTCAAACACATGGTAATCCTGTCTCAGCCTGTCCAGTGAAATTACAGGCATGTGCCATCATGCCCAGCATGTTCTGCAGTTTTTTTAAATGATCATTTTGTTTAAGGCTTATAATAATCTCCTGAACATCATTGCTCTAAATTGAGGCATTTCTACCTTGTCAGAATTCTGATAGACCTTCTATTTATTGTGGGTTGTTTCAAGAAAAGCAAATACATCCCCTTTTTGGAACAGGTAATTTGGGGTGTTGTAGCCTACCACACGAAGAAGTAAACAACAAATATTCTCTAGCTGTCATTAGGTAAAATGGAAATGCTATACAAACCTAAAGCCCATCTTTATATGTATTACTCTTATCTCTACAGTAGTGTCTGATAAAAATTATTGTAAACTTAATTTGTTTTGTCCAGACTAAAATTAATATTGTTTACATTTCATGTAGTGCATGTGGTAATTGCTACCCCTGGCAGAATCCTGGATCTTATCAAGAAAGGAGTAGCAAAGGTTGATCATGTCCAGATGATAGTATTGGATGAGGTAATGTCTCTTCATTTATAAAGATACTGTTCTATCATATTTTATTCTGTCATATTAAAGAGTTTCTGAATGAGTTCAAAGCCAAGTTCATTCTAAGACTTTCTATTTTTTACTTATGTAGTCTTTTTCATTTTTATCGGTACCAGGGATCAAACTCACGACCGCACACTTGCAAGGCTTATGCCGCCGAGCTAAATCCCCAGCCTAAAGACTTTCTATTTACAGATTACTTTTTTTTAAAAGCACATGCCTCTAACCTTGTTTTGTACATATTACTATGTATTATTTGGGTTTGTTCTGTATATTTATCTCACCAGTTTATATTGTAAGTGCTTTTTAAGAACTGACTGAACTCTATATTTCTAGGATCTGGTGGTATTTTAAACATGTAGCTTATCAGTGTTGTAAATGTTTTGGCATACAGCTACTTTCCTGTTTGGTTTGTGTTCTGCATAACTAGTTCATTAATGGAGTCTAATTCTTATCAAGCTTTTGAGTAATAAGAACTAACATTTACTGTTGATCAGTATGTGCCAATACTAAATACATGTTTCTATTTAAGCTTTACAATAACCCAGTAAGGTACAGGTGTCCAGTAAAGTAATGATTATGGTATGCAGACAGCCTAATTTTGTAGTTGTTTAAAAGTGAAGTACAAAGTGCTTAAATAATATCCCCACACAGTTAGTGAATAAAGGAGACATTTAACCAAAGTGATTTGATTACAGAATTTTAGTGTAATGGAAATCATACTAAAATTGCATTAGAGAAATAGGTTTTATCAATCTAAAACAGTGGTGGCACCCGTGGCAAGCATGCTGCAGCAGGCTATTTGTATCATTGAAAGCTTTATAAACCTAAAGCCGTCTTTGTATATTTTTATGTCACTGTTATCTCTATAGTAGTATCTGATAAAAATTACTGTAGGCTTATAATATTCTTTTTTTGTCCAAGTTAAAGTTAATGAGAATAAGATATGTTTTCTAAATCATGTAGTGTGCATGGTTCACCATCACTGGTATGGAATTCTTTTAACATAAAGATGAGTAGCATGTATAGGCTTTTCTCCTTCTGAATTAGTGAGAATTTCTCCTGATGCCATTGGACTGTACATATTGGAGAGAATTTACTGTTTATGAATCAAGAACATTCTGTGGATATTCTTAGTGGATTATGCTTTATTATTTGTTCATACATTGACCAAGACTTTTGACAACACTTCTTTTTAAAATTGTCTTCTTTTGGTCTTGCAGGCAGATAAGTTGCTATCACAGGATTTCGTGCAGATAATGGAGGATATTATTCTCACATTACCTAAAAACAGGCAGATTTTATTATATTCTGCTACTTTCCCTCTTAGTGTGCAAAAGTTTATGGTGAGTATACATCTGTAGTTAAAATCAGTGCCATCCTGTTGCCTATGAATATCCTTTTATCTATAATTTCATAAAAAGTATAAGCTTTATGTTAAATACTGCAGAGTTGTTGGCTTTTTTTTTCAGCTGTCAAAGTTAAGATTTGTGTACATCTACTGTTCTATTTTTGTTGTTTTTGTTTTGGAGGCAGGTCTTGCTTTGTAGTCCGGGCTAGCCTCAAACTTGTGGCAATCCTCCTGCCTCAGCCTCCTACATGCTGGGATTACAGGCTTGCACCACCACACTGGGGACATTCACTTTTGAAAGCTGCAATAGAATTGTATTAAATTTTTGTTTCTCTGCTTAGCTCTTGGTGTCAGAAGGACATAGCCAGTTGATGCTAGCAGGGTAAATTGGTTACAGCACCTGCAAAATATTACCTACAAAACACAAAAGATGCAGCTGCATTTTTTAATCTGAGATCTTGTATCTTATAGTAATTTATTTTTCATGTAACTTGTTTTTTGAAGAGAGATGCATATCTTAGGAGTTTATCAGACAACAGTGTGTATTTTGAGCTTAAAATAGAAAAAATTCTGCTTTAAGCATAAGGCTTTATGCTTTTTTTCAGAATTCCCATTTGCAGAAACCCTATGAGATTAACTTGATGGAGGAACTAACGTTGAAGGGAGTAACCCAGTACTACGCATATGTAACTGAGCGCCAGAAAGTACACTGCCTCAACACACTTTTCTCCAGGGTAAATAGTTTTCTGCTGTTGATCATTCATCATTTAATCCCAGTAAAAAACTTATATTCATTTTCTCATCATCTTTACAGTTGAAGTATTTAGTGGTTCCTAGAAAGTCCCATGTTGGGGCCAGGGGGGCTGGGAATTTAGCTCAGTGGCATAAGTGCCTGCCTTGCAAGCAGGCAGTCGTGAGTTTGATTCCCGGTACCGATAAAAAGGAACAAGACAAAAAAAAAAAAAAAAAAAAAGAAATGACCATTTTTAGGGCTGGGGATTTAGCTCAGCGGCATAAGTGCCTGCCTTGTAAAGCAGGCAGTCGTGAGTTCGATCCCTGGTACCGATAAAAAGGAAAAAGACAAAAAAAAAGGAAACTCAACCATGTTGGGGTCAGGGATTTAGCCCAGCGGCATAAGTGCCTGTCTTGCAAGCATGTGGTCGTGAGTTCAATCTCCAGTACCAGGGAGAAAGAAAAAAAAAAAAGATTATGACCAAAACCTCACAGGTGTCTAATCCTGTGTGTTTCCCTAAAAGCTGTGTTTCTATATTTATTACCTCAGTGTTTGCAGTGACTTTATAGAACATACTATAAAATGTATAATGAGAATCAGCTGTTTTTATCCATTGACAATTATGCGGCCTTTGTGAAATATATCTATAATAATAATACATTATGATCTATAAAAATTATGTCATATATAAAGATTTTACAACTTTCTGCACCTCCTACCACAGAATTCTAGACTGTTTCTTTTTATATTGTTTGTCAGTTAATATTTTCAAGATTTGATAAAATACATAAAGGTTTGTCTTTTTTGTTTTTCCTGTGCTCAGCTTCAGATAAACCAGTCGATCATTTTCTGTAACTCCTCCCAGCGAGTTGAATTGCTAGCCAAGAAGATTTCTCAACTGGGTTATTCTTGCTTCTATATTCACGCTAAAATGAGGCAGGTAAGTATAAAACAAACTGGTTTTTAAAAATCTTTTAGCTCATTCCCTTAGGTTTAATTGTGTAAAAATAAAATAGAGGTAATAAAATAGATATATATGGTACATATTTATACTGTACAAGTTTGTTAGGAAGATTAAAAACAGTACATGAATGAGTACTTGGTGAATGATAAAGAGTGATACAAAAAGTGAAATTTAATTTTCTTCCTTTCTTAGGTAAGCTTTAGGTGTGTACTGTTTAATAACTGTTTGGCAATATATGATGTTTTAAAAGAAAGCTACAAATTTAGTTCCTTCAAAGCAGATAATATTTCAAGTACTCAGTTGTCTGTGGCTAGTGACTTTGTACTTTAAGTACTAATAAAGAACTTATTACAGAAAACATTGCTATAGATTTTTAGCATATCTTTTTTTGTTGTTTTGTTTTGTTTTGTTTTGTTTTGTTTTGTTTTTTGTCTTTTTCCTTTTGATCGGTACCAGGGATCGAACTCACGACTGCCTGCTTGCAAGGCAGTTGCTTATGCCACTGAGCTAAATCCCCAGCCCCTTTTTTAGAATATCTTTAAGTCTCTCCTCACCCAAGGGGAATGTGTTCCAAGATAATCCTGATATTATTTGCAACTGAAAATTATACCAAACATATATGCTGATTTTTTTTTTCCCCCTGTATATACTTGTGGTAAAGTTTAATTTATAAATTAGGTGCAGTAAGAGATTAATAACAGTTAATTTAAAAATAAATGCAATCTGTAAAAGAAAACTTATACAAGACTCACCCTTGCAATGATGTAAGATTCTGTGCTTGCTTGATGAAGAGAAGCGAGTAATGTAGACATTTTCAGTGCAATAGCTTTACATGAGGGTTATTTAACCATGAGCATGGTGATACCATGTCAGTTAAGCTGATAAAAAAGCTGAGAGAGATGTGTAGTGTGCAGTGGACAAAAGGATGGTTAACATTCCAGATAGAAAGACATAGTTTCATTACATTCCTCAGAAAGGTATGCAGGTTAACTTAGAAATTATTTCTGGGCTTTTTATGGAATTTTTTGAGGCTGAGGTTGACTAGGAAAATCATGGAAAATGAAATTAAGGTTAAGATTGAACTACTACTGTACACGGACCATAAGCTACACTATGCTACAACTTTTTAAATTTTTATTTGCTTAAGAAAAGGTTGTCTCAAATGTCATAATCTGTTTTTAACAAAATAATTCAAAGTTATGACAAGACACCTTATGAGAAAACAGTTTCTGTAGACTAACCCTGAGAATTTACGTTTGTTTTAGGGGTTTTTAAAGAGCGTATTTGTCGAGAGAAAGAAAGCTGCTGTCCAAGAGACAGACAGTTGGAGTCCCAAGTGTGGGTTGCCCTACATTTTGTTTTAAAAGCTTAAAGTCATGTATCAGTTGTATAGACAGATTTGGGATAAAAAGAAATGCTTGGGTAGGAAATACAGTGAAAATTTTGTGCTATGTATAGGTTTTAGTCAAATAGCATATATTGGTTTTTCCTAGGAGCATCGAAATCGTGTGTTTCATGATTTCCGAAATGGCTTATGCCGCAATCTTGTTTGCACTGGTAAGTATTTTTGTATTTGTTTTATCCATTGTCTTCCCATTTCTGGATTGCTTTCTTTATATCACACAGTGCAACGTTTGACATAGTCCAGCACATACTCCTGCCACATTTACAGTTTCTAAACTCTGTAACAAATCCTTAAAAATGGGCCCCATGTCCAAATCTGCAGCCTTGTTTTTTGCACTCATTTAATTTTCTGATTTTTAAACTAGTTTTTTAATTTGTAGTTTTAACATACAAGAATTGGGCAACGTATTAGTTCTCAGGCTGAGGCAGGAGGATCACTGCAGGTTTGGGGCCAGCCTGAACTGCATAGTGAAACCCTGTCTCAAAAAGACAAAAAAAAAAAAAAAAAAAAAAAAAAAAAAGAATGAGCCACACAAAATGAATTATACTAAGACACTGCCTATGTTTTAGAAGTTGTCATTTTTTTCTGCCAGGAGCAGACTAGTCTGTGGGCGGAGTGGGGGGGGCATAGCACTTGGATTTGTTACCTTGCGTTTTTGTACTACAAATGTAAGCTTATTAGTATGAGAGTAATAATCTAGGTTTCTGTGAAAAGAGAATTTGGAGTTACTTAATCTCAGGTATATTATTTCATGAATTTTTGCATATGTACCCATAAAACCTACACAGGTGAAGATTTTATCACAGCAGGACAGTTGGACAGCTTGAACCACAAGCGATACATACATGACTATCCCACTGGGCCCCCCCCCCTTTTTCCCGTGTGTGTGTGTGTGTGTGTGTGTGTGTGTGTGTATAAAAAGATGGATAGGGCCAGTATGGTGGCACATACCTGTAATTCTAGCACTTGGGAGACTGAGGCTGGAGGATTGCTGTGAGTTTGAGGACAGCCTGAGTTACATAGCAAGACCCTGTCTCAAAAAAAGTATAAAAGTGTTTAGATACACTAGAACATGTTAAAATATTTCAGAAATCTGAATTTCTATTAAAATGCTGTTCTAGAAATTCTTCCAGACTTAAATTTTTATTCATGAGAATCAAAGGAATGGGCCAGGGACACACCTCAGCAGAACAACAGCCTGCTTGGCAAGCACAAGGTTCTGAGTTCAGTTTGCGGTACAGCAGCAGCAAAAGAAAGAATTGGGGTGCAGTTCAGTGGGAGAGCTTATGGCTAGCTTTTGTGGGACCCTGGGTTTGATTCCCAGCATCACAAAAAAGAAATTTAAGAAAATGACTAAAAAAATGGACTTGAGGGCCAGGGATTTTACTGGCAAGTACAAGATCATGAGTTTAATCCCCAGTACCTGCCCTCCCCCCCAAAAAAAGATTTGAAGCTGGGTGTGGTGGTGCACACCTGTAACTTAACATTTGGAAGGCTGAGGCAGGAGGATCATTGAAAGTTCAAGACCAGCCTGAGCTACAGAAATAAGCTCCAGGCAGCCTAAACTGCATAGTGATACTTTGTCTCAAAAAGGCAAAACAGAAAAAAAAAAAAAAAAACCTCAAATACTTCATCTTGTTTTCTCTGTCCTACATCTGAAAGTTAAGCTGTAACCACATGCATTCCTTTTTACTTTATTATCAGGCCTAGTAACCGATAATATGTTGAGGTATTTAACTGTGTCAGATATAGTCAAAAAGATTTTAGACAAACTAGAGCAAGGTAAGGTTTTCCAGGTTAGGTTCCAAATCATCATCTTTTTTTTTTTTAAACTCAGACTTCAGGCAAGTTGTGTTTTTCTTTTTCTACTGTCCAGTGGAAGTACCTTGTAAATTAAATTTTAAACACATGTACATATAAATTATTAAATACTTGGGTGTAACCATGGTGGTTTGTTTTGTTTTGTTTTGTTTTGTTTTGTTTTTTGGTCACAACCTCACACTTGCCTAGTTTATCAGTGAAATGTTTTGAGTTAATCAAATTCAAAATGTACAAGAAATAAAGAGTTGCTATTTGTCATCAGGCAGTCCTCTGTTAGTAAATTTTTGTCCTTTAATAAAGTTAGTTTGGGGAGTTGGGGAGATAGTTCAGTGTTACAGGGCTTGCATGTACACAAAGTGCTAGGTTTGATAGTTCAGTGTTACAGGGCTTACGTGTACACAGTGATCTCCAGCACACAAAAAAATTTGAGGCCATCATCAGTTCAATGCCCAACATTCAAAAAAGTTGTTAATAATAATACTGCACTTGCTCATTGATAGGAATTGTTACATTGGTTAATAGGTTTATTTTTAATCACTACTTCAGTCTTGCCCTCAGATAAGTTTGAAGTGGTAATACTTTCTCCTGATTTTTCAGAAGTTACATAATGTCATTAAATAAATGCTATATAGGGGTCTTAGCTCCATGGCACAGTGCCTACCTAGCAAGTGTGAAATCCTGAGTTCAATTCCCGGTACCCCCAAAAAAACAATACCATTCCTGAATAAATACTATATAACATAGTGTATCCAAGATGTATAAATGAACTTACATAAAAGATAAAGTGAAAGCTAACACACTTTTCTGTGAAGTGCCAGATAGTAAATATTTTAGTTTATACCCCATTTGGTGTTTGTTTTGTTGTTGTTTTGGGGGGTTTTTTTGTTTGTTTTTGGTCTTCTTAAGACAGTCTCATTGTGCAGTTCAGGCTGGCCTTTAGCTCACTTTGCAACCCAGGCTGGTGTTGAACTTGTCTTCTACCACTGTCTAAAACTTCCTTACAGGAATTAGAGAAGATAACTTGTAAGCAGAAATTTGTACCTGATAAAGTAAATGAAAAGTAAGGCCAGTAATTTGTAAGTTTATTTCAGTAACTGAATTTAAGAAACTTAGGTTACATTAAAAGTAAACATTTTAAAAGTTTGAAAACTGGTCATGTTCTTGCATACCCGAAATCCCAGCATTCTGGAAGGCTAAAGTAGGAGTATCGTAAATCCAAGCCCAACTGGGGAACTTATTAGCAAGACTTGTCTTAATTTTTAAGAGCCTGGAGATAAAGCTCAGCACGATCATACCTAGCTAGAGAAAAAAAGAGTTGGGACATCAGAGAATATGTAAATCTCTAAACTCTAAAATATGAAAAGTTTATTTTTCTTTTTCTCTTTTTTTAAAAGATCTGTTTACGCGAGGTATTGATATACAAGCTGTGAATGTGGTAATAAACTTTGACTTCCCAAAGCTGGCAGAGACCTATCTTCATCGTATTGGAAGATCAGGTAAAGAAAAGGAAGTTTGGGGAAGTTTTGCAAAAGTGTAACAAAATTAAAATTTTGTTCCTTTTGAAGTAAATATACTAGTACAAACAGTGACTTGTTAACACTAATTCAGTTTCATTTTTGTGATTTTTTTGGGGGGGGGGTGGGTCTTTTGAGGCAGGATTTCACTGTGTGTCTGTGTACTGCAGGCTGGCCTGGAACTCCAGCCAGGAAGCCCAGGCTTTCCTCAAACTGTTCACTGTGTGTACTCTAGCTACTTGATAAGTTTACCATTTGAATAAAGTAAAATAGGTCTGAGAATGTAGCTCAGTGATGGAGCACTTGCTTAGCATGCACAGGGACTTGGTTTCCATTCCATTCCAATTTCAAAAGGGCAAAAAAAAGGAAAATAAGCTACAGCTGTTTCTCAGTATCCAAGGGAGAGACATCCAAAACTCTGCAGATACCAAAGTCTACGGATGCTTAAGTCTCACATAAAATGGGTGCCTTTGCATATAACCCATGTATATACCTAACAATAGGAATACTGTGTAACAAGTTATTGTACTAGTTATTGTAGTTATTGTACTGTATTATTAAGGTAATACTGACCAGAAAAGACAAATTTATGGGTTCAGTACAGCAGAAATTTTTACATATATTATTTTCTTTCTGGGGTTGGTTGAATCCACTGATGCAGATCCTGTGAATTAAAGCCAGCTGTACTGTTTTGTGTTGTAAAATCTGAAGCTGTAGGGTAATTATGTGTAAGGAGACCATAAGAAGCATTTGCTTGGGGCTGGGGATTTAGCTCAGTGGCATAAGCACCTGCCTTGCAAGCAGGCGGTCGTGAGTTCGATCCCCGGTACCAATTAAAAAAAAAAAAAGCATTTGCTTGTATTCAAGATGGCATTAAAGAGAAATACTAATCCTGTGTGCTTATTGTTTAAATTATTAAATACATTTTTCTTTAGGTCGCTTTGGTCATCTTGGCTTAGCCATCAACTTGATCACATATGATGATCGCTTCAACCTGAAAAGTATTGAGGAGCAACTGGGAACAGAAATTAAGCCTATCCCAAGCAACATTGACAAGAGCCTATATGTGGCAGAGTACCACAGTGAGCCTGTAGAAGATGAAAAACCATAACAAGCATGTATGTACCTAAAAACAGTGAGGTTAAACAAAACAATTGAGTGAAATTGTTAAAGGAAAGAACTAACCTCTTCCCTGAGGAAAATTCAATTTCCTGCCATATATAATAGCAATATAGGATAAAATACCCATTGGCATAAGTGATGGTATGTAGAGACATCTCGAGTGAGGAATTGGTATCATTAGAGAGAACACGAGTGGTACCTCAGTTCACAGACTTAATTCTTTCAATTGTGGCTATAAACCGAATTTGGCAAGAACTAAGTCAGATTTCCCCATATAGTCAACATTGGCCTAACTGTTGAATTTGATTCAGGTCTTAGCCAGTTTGGTTTATGGTCAGAATTAAGTTTGTAAACCAAGGTAGCACTGTATGTACCGTTCTGGAATGCACCTTTCTGTTTAATGTGATAGGTGAGCAATGCTTCAGACAAATTTGAGCTCCCAAAATGGTGAAAGTAAAAAAGAATCTCTGATGGTAATTTAAGTGTGAAAATACTTTCTGCTTTTCTTGTTTTCTTCCCCCTCTCAGAGTCGTCTCTTTTTAGAACTTTTCTATTGGATGCATTAATATCAGGCAGTATTGCCTATAACACCTAGTCCCAGTTGTATAATAAGGTTCTAAGGACATTGTCTTGTTAAGTACCTCCCCGCTAATTTTCCACACACCTCCCCTCATTCTCTTGGTAGGAGCAGGGGCATGGATAGTACTGGAGATCTAACCCATGGCTGCTCACCACTGAGCAGCATCTCATCGTTTTATATTTTAGACAAGATCTTGCGTGCCAAGTTGCCCATTCTTGCACTTGCCTCCTGCCCGAGTTTCCTCAGTAGCTGGAAGTTCTAGCATCCACCATACCCAGCTTCTTTCACCTTCAGTGACACTTGGGCTTTGGTTAGAAATGCAGGCTGAGCACAGTAACATACTTACAATCCCTGCTACTCAGGATGAGGCATACAGGAGAACTGAAAGTTCAAGGCCAACCTGGCCAGTTTAGCAAGATCCTGTGTCAAAAAATGAAGAGCTGGAGATACAGCTGTGTGGAGTACAATGCATCCATGAGGCCCTAAGTTCAATCCAAAAATTAAAAAAGAAAATGCCCAAAACCGGGTTCAAAAGTGAGGGAATGTAGGCGGTTTCAGTTTTCCTTAAGAGAATTCTGATTTAATTTATAGATGATAGTCTCCAAATTATAGTGTGTCTTGGCCTGTTATATATAGTAAAGAATTTTCGAATTGCTCTTCATTCTTCGTTTTAGCCTTTTTTCCTAAGATTAAATATAAAACACAAAACTCTTGAACAAATAAAAGTAACCATATGTTTGCCAGTACTTTGGCAGATCACTCAGTTCATGTAAGATGAATACTTCCCCCCTTGCTAAAATCATTCTGAATGAGGGCTGTCAGTCCCCAGAATTTGAGACTCTCATTCATTTTTGTAGGGATGCCTGGGAGAGATTCCTTATTGTAACCAGTAATTCTGTAGTGATAAAGGCTCAGTGGAAAGAAAGTACTAGAACATTTGGGATGAGGATTGTAAAAACTTACATATTGTGGGGGGTTTTTTTCATTACTTTTTTTTTTCCCCTCATTACTTTCATAAATGTTAATTTTAGCTTTCTTTAATCTTTCCTGTAGGCTTTGGCAAACTACGGAAGGCTCCTTTGGATCTGTGTCACATCTTTTTTGGGGGGTGCTCTTCTCTTTGTGGGTTTTTCATCTTTTATTTTGAAACTATGAAAATTTAAAAGAGCTCAGATTTTTCTTTTTAACTGGTGAAGAGGAAACTGAAAAGAAGGAATACCTTTTTTGTTCCACTTGTTTGCACTGTGTGCTGACTGAACATTAGTTGCACTAACTGCTGGTTTTAAAAAAAAATGTTTTCTGGGGAAAGGGGACAAGGAAGGAAGAAAAGAAAAGGGGAGAAACCCTAAGAAGAGAAGAATCTTGAACACAAGCTTGTCTACAATTTTGAAATTCAACAGCTGACTTGAGTGCATTTCAACTTCTCCCTGATCACTCATCCGTTTTTTAAGCCTGAAGAGCTTATTACTTATTTGTGCGAAGTGCCTTATGCTACGAGACCATTCAGAATATCATCTTTTAGACAGCCCAAGGAATCAACAAAGTAATTTTCTTCATTTTTTCCCCCTTTTTAAAAAATTTTGTCTGTCCGTTTTTGGTTTCACGTTGAAGTCTCTTCCCTTTCTACCCATTACTCAAGCCCAGGGCTGGAAGATGAAACTTACTAGTAATGTTAAACACCATTTTTATTTTGTTTATGTGGAGGAGTTGATATGCAACAGCAGTTCATCCGCACTGTAAATACATGTATTTAAAAAACCAATTCGAAGTAAAGATTTCTTCTGGGCTGAGTAGATGCATCATCGCTCCCAAAGGAAAGAGCAGTCTATCATTGCAGGAGCCATATGACAAGCCTTTGTGCTCTATATCAGAACACTAAAGACTGGTTTACATACGTCTCCATTAGCAGTATGGCACTTGATGTGTAGACATGTCAGAGCCTTGACCCTCTTTCCTCTGTGGCACAGCGCGTCCCATAGAAAATTGGGTGTGTATACTTGTATAAACTTTGTAAATAAGTTTTTTTTCTGGGTTCACACACACACATATATATATATATATATATATATATATACATATATATATTATTTTTTTTGGATGAAGGTTGCTGGGATTAAGGGATTAGAGTGATTATGGGAGCAGCTATAGATGAGAGGGGCTCAGTTTTCCGCAACACTAAATTCTCAAAAGTCCTTTTACTGTAGTAGAGACATACCTCTATGGGGACCCTGTGTTAGAAAAGGGACCCAGAAGTCTGGGATGCACCTTGCGCTGCCACGCTGTCTCATCTAGAAAATTTGGAGCAGTCCAGAGAGCAAGAAAGCTTCAAAAATCTATAATCAAGATGAATTTTTGAGACACTCTCTGATTTTGCCTCTCCCTTTCTGAAAGTTAGAGGAACTTTTTAAACTGCAAAAGAGAGCAAAGATTAATCTGCTTTGCAGTATGAGAATTCAATCAAGTGGCAGCATCTTTGAGCAGAATATGTATAAAGCGTGGATTTTGCATTTCAGAATATTTAGCCAGTATCAGCCTTGGCAGTGTTAGCAGTTCTGGAACTTAATTTTCTGTGGAACATCTCCTGTAGTGTTGTACACATGTTGCCATCTGCCTACCTTGATGCATAAACTTGCAGAATGGGCAACCCCTGAGAGCTGTTAACTTCAACACTGCAGGAAGCTGCCTACCATCCTCTTGCGCTGTTGACAAGAATCTTTACCTGTCATTTTGCATTGTAAATTGCTGGCAAATGCTTAACAGTCAGTAGTGTTGCTTTAAATTGTGCCCCTCCCAACATGCTTGATGTTTGGCCTGATCTCCAGGCAAAAGGAGTGAGATGAATCAAACCAGTGAACTTTTTTTTTTTTTTTTTTTTTAATATTTTTAATTCCCTTTTAACCCAGTGTACTAGGTCAATCAGGAGTCATCTAGGGAAAAAAAAAGCAAAACACAAAATTGAAAAAAAAATCAATTTCCATATTCTATTCTTCCTCAAAACCCTAAAATATTACAAGATAAATCCAGCATATGCTTTCATGCTTAATTCATCTGGATAAAAAGTCAATTATTTGAAGTTGCTTTTTTGACTCTGCCTAGTTCTAAGCAAAACTATTTGCAAGTCACCCAAAATTCCTTCAGGATCAAAATCCTACAGATGCCTCCTGATCAGACATAGACCTGACTCCTTAACTGTAGCAAGAGCTGCACAGTACAAACCCAAAAATAGCAAGTTTATTTCTTTGGAATCTAAGTCACATATCCAGTGTTGGTTACTGAATATAAATCCTAATTAAGGACATTAAGTATCTTGGTGGGGGGACCTAAAAAATGTCATCTTTTGACCAACAGATCTTGTCCTTGTACTGATGCAGCTCTTTCTCCCCCCACCTCTGGCGAGATAAGAGGGATCTTTCATGTAAAAGAAGAACAGAGTGTAAACGTAATTTTGTGTCTCGCTAAAAAGTGCAGTCCACTTGTCGACCTTAGACTGCTCTGCCTGGTGCCACATGCCTGTGGGTCCCTCTTAAAGCACAGACTTAAAATTGATAGTATTACTGAAATACAGCCTCTGATGAGGAGTGGCACTTAAAATCATCTGGGACACCAGGATGGACACTGTCCTTTAATGAGGCAGCTGTCCAGTTTTGGTGCTAGACTCGAATAGGAATTGTTAAATGGAAAGATGCTCTAAAGACTAGGTCAAGCCTGGTCTTTTTTTTTTTTTTTTTTCCTTTTAACCCTAAAGGAAAATTGTAATTATAAATTGTCTTCAGATTCTAATATTGGGTTTATTTCTAAGTAATAGTTACCTTTTTTTCAGTGGTTCATATAGATGAGAACCAGTCCCCATGTTAGAACTATATCCAATTCATGTTCTGAAGTCATGAGAAACTATTGCCTTTCACGTAGGAGGGAATAAGTTCATCCTAAAAGATTATTCTAGGGAAGAAGTAAGAGGAAAACATAAATAATATTTTGAATTATTTTCAAGTTGGTCCCAGCTTCCATAACATAAGGTTGGCCCAAAAAGGTTGGGGTGGGATAGGTGGTTATCAATATTTCTTTTCAGAATGAGATGGGAGCATCTTTCCTTTGTCCTGTGCTTTGTGTTTGATAACCATCATAGTTGTTTAGAACAAGATAATAGCACAAAGCCTCGAGTGTAGATTGTTGAAATCAAAACATCTCATTCTGATCACTTGATTTAATTTTTTTAATAAGGGGGGAGGGAGGGTATTGTGCCCCCAAAAGGGAGGGTGTCTGCACTAAGGATTTAGAAAACACTGTGGAAGCTCATAACCTCATCAGAAACTGCCTTTAGCCACTCTCCTGACCTGCCAGATGAGTAACAAAAAAGATGAAATAAGTTCTTGGGAATTAAGCCATGTTGTTTTAATTTGCTGTGTCGTTTTCAGCTGTCTCTATGTATCTTGAAAATTGTTATTGTGGAATCGTTTTCTTGCCAAATAGCTTTGTCAGGCTAAGTTATTGACCTCATGGGAGCTGAAGTACGTCAGCTTTTTGGTGAACTTAACATGGATTTTCATAACCTTGTAGTTCAACTTTATGTTCAGAAAGGTTTTTTTTTTTTTAAACTTATAAAGAAAATCTAAAGTCTTAAAACTCATCTTTGGGGTAAAGAGTGAAGTGTCCAAAGGTCGTCACAGTTCATGAGGTGTCAGAGGGAGCTTGCCTGGCACCTGGACTCTGCCCCTCCACAGCTGACAGATTCCAACAGAAGTGTATTTAAATATTTAAATGCTGGGCAGGGGAAGGGAGGGGTAGGGCCGGGTTGTGGAGATACAGGCTACTGTGTTTTAGCCAGTGGTTGTTGGGAAGGGGTGCCTGGAGAAAACAAAAATTACTTCCCTTTTTTGAAACAAATGTCTAAAAATGTGATTTTTGTTCATTAAACATGGGAGAAAATTCCAATGTCCCTAGCCACAAGGGACCAGTTCCACTGAGAAATGGAACAGTGGGAACTCAAAATGTTTGAAAACATTTTAAGAAAGAGAAAATTGGCTTTCTGTTAATTGGCAAGTGTTCCAGTGGGGCTCTGTTTTGGTTGGGATGTGTTACGTTGTTTGTATGTGTACATGGACTAGAGTTTGCTGAGTTTTATAAAGGTTCAGAAAAGATGGTTGGAAAAATCTTGATTTTTTGTTAATTTATCTCAATAAAAGCCCACTGGAACTCCAAATGTGTGTGCTGTATGTTTTTAATAGTAGGCAGTATTTAGGAATCCATTTGAAGGCAGCATTTCGTGGTAGTGAGACAGACGTTGTCAGAAGTATTAGTGCTGTGAGCCCGGTTGAGTGAACTGTAAGTGTTACTTCATTTAGGCTAACGGGCCTACTTCCTTGTGATGTTTTCTTAGCCAAAGAGTGAACCAAGATAATCATTTGGGAAGGAGAGATGATAGGTCTTAAAGCAGTCTGTTGAGATATTCTTAATCATCAACTCCTAGAACTGTTATCAGGCCTAAAGCTGAAGTCATCACAAAAGCTTATTACAGGACTACAGAACGCTGGTGAAAGAAACCTAAAGACCCAAATGCAGAGAGGGGAGTGCTGAAGCCACCACACCTAAAGAGACCAGACACAGCTGCCTATATAGAAAACCGTGAACTAAATACGCTGATGGGAGTTAGACCTTTTTGCAAAATAAATGTTCATGGATTGGAGTACCAAATTTTTGTCAGTTTGATTTATAAAATTAGGACATTTGCAGCCAATCTCAGCAAGCTTTTTTTTTTTTTTAAACTGTAAGTTGATTAACCCTAAACTAAATGAAAGGGCAATCATGCCTTAACTTCTAAGAACAGTACTGGAAGCTACCTGTTTGAAGACTTACCAAGAAGTATGGTATTGTCAGAAGGAGAGACTTGAATAGGTGTACACAAATCATTTTGTTCATGATTGCAAAGAATTCAGTGGATGAAGGATAGATAAATAGTCTAGGAACAACGAATTCCAAAAATGACTTTTCTCTGGCACAGACTGCCTAGCAAGTGCAAGGTCCTGAGTTTGAGACCTGGTACCAAAACCAAGTACACAGAATTGCAAAAGCAATC